CTATTTATATTTATATTTATTTCTTATATATATATATATGTATCTATATATATATATTTATATATATATTTATATTTATACATTTGATACATGTATATATTTGTATATATATGTATGTGCGTGTACATATATATATATATATATATGTATATTTATACATTTGATACATGGATATATGTATGTATATATATGTATGTGCGTGTACATATATATATATATATATATTTGATACATGTATATATAATATATGTATATTTCATATATATTTATATATATATATATATAAATATATACGGTTGTGTATATATATGCATATATATACATATGTATAATATATATATATATATGTATATATGTATATATATACACACACGTATATATATATATACAATGTAGTATGTATATACAATATAATATATCTATATATATATATATATATATATGTATGTATATGTATATGTTTGTGTATATATATATATGTTTGCATATATATATATAGATATATATGTAATGTATATGTATATGTGTATATATGAACTTATAAATATATAGATGTTCATAGATTTTGAGCTTGTTGTGGTACAAATATTATGCAAATAGTATCGGCTACTCCTTCGCTAAATATACGTCTTAGTATATTTATAATATTAAGCTGTTAGTGCATGTATAATTATGCATTTGGTATAGTGCAGTTCTCGTCTGTGATTGTGTATATCATATTAAACACCACTACTCCGAACAAGCAAAATCAAATTGTCATACGATATATTTTACTTACTTTACGTCTTTGATGATCACCATGTTACTCTCAGACTCGGGCAATTCTGAGGGCCCCAATAACCCCGAACACATTTCGCAAGGCTTCTCCGAGCCCAATTGGTAGTCCGTTGTCATCAGCGCATAGCGAATGGTCTGCTATCAATGTAAATAACAAGCCTAGCATGATACTACCAGCTCCCACTGCTGAAGAATATGAACTCGCCAAGAGTTCGAAAGTGCTTGACTTCGACGATGAGGTGTCAGAGTTAGAGGACCACATTGCCTCAGACAGAGATACTACTGATATACAATCATCGGCTTTGAGGCCAAATCGTAGCGCATTGTCAACTGTGCACTACAAATTTTCTACGAACAATGGTAAGCGTAGCATAATATTGCCGGCTCCGAGTGCTGAAGAATACGAACTCGCAAGGAGGTCGAGAGTGCTTGACTTCGACGATTAGGTGACAGAGATGTAGCAGAACTATCTTTTCTAAGATTAAGTTACCAATGATACGCAAGCGTCGGTTTATGAAGCGACGGTGAGTGAATTTAGATCAGGGAGCACTGGGCAATACTCTCGAAAGTTATAATAATTAAAACCCCTCTGCTTGTTCAACGCTACGCTGGGATTCACTTTGCACGATGTCAATATGCTGATGGCGGACTACCATGCACGTTATACAGCATTTGCAGTAACCGACGAGCACATTACCTTATCACTTATCGTTTCAACACATCCTCGATTATGTCTTCCGTCTCATTTATATTCACTCCTTAACCTATCAAATCCCAAACTATAGCCTCAGATGTTAATATTCTGTGGTACGTACCATCGAATGTTCTACAAGCGGCCATCAGCGTATCCTTCTACATCCCAAGAACGCAGTTGCACGCTTGTACAAGTTGTATGCCACCACTGGAGCATTGAATAGAGCAGCTGGCCACTTAAATATGAAAGCATGATGTTTCGTATTAAAATTCTGATACATACTGTATCGTATTGGATACGAAGGTCTGATACGACACATCTGAAGTACTAATATAGTTTGCAATAAGATACTTCGATATACCCAAGCTATTTTCATGCGATGTACAATACGCAGGTACGAAGATATTGAGTCCGAACCCCATTTCAATGAGCGGCAACCTTGTTAACCGTCAGAATTAGAGGACATTTGGTTATTAAATACGGGTCATATCTACTGTATAAATTCATTATTATCGGTACCGTAAGATCGACGGGGGGAGGGGCGGGGGGAGGGAGGGTGAGATGAATCACAAAGCTTCACCCGCCCACATAAAAACTAGACGTTTGTTCAAATTTCAACGAATATGTTTAAGGAAAGCTATCGGCCCGCACACAATATGACTGAATAAAGCTCATATCTGCGCACAACTGCAATAGATCCGTTGTTCCTCTTCCCTGTTGTATAAGAGTTGAAGTTAATATAATAAATCTCGGGTGCTATACAATTGAACGCCAAATTATTCCACAATGAATATTTACTATCGGTCCACAAAGGCTATCACAGTCCATGTCGCCAGTTCAGCTACTTATGACTTATATACAAATAAAAGCTAGTGGGTAAGGACAGACGTTTCCTGGATAATGGAGAGTGAACAAATCACATTTCAAAGTATATAACTATCGTATTCACAGAAATCAGGCTCTATCTGTCATCGCCTTCAAGTGTTTGAACTCACAGTTTCCGATACTTTGACCTTGGTTCCCACTGTGTGTCTTCAAGAACTCTCGGCGCACTAAATATGCATGTACACATCTTACCTAAAATACGACTTCAGCACAGCACACAATCTGTGGTCCGTAG